TCAGACTGAATAACAGTGTCTGTAGACTAAAGTACACAAAATACAAAAAGAAAAAAAAAAAACATTGTAAAATGTCATGTACGTATCCGACAGTGTGTCTCAGTTCTCATTTCAAATCTCTCAACCACGAGATCAAGAAATAAAATCAGTAACTCATTGATTCTTCTTATTTTTTTTTTTTTCTTAATTTTTATTTTTAATTGGTTCGGCCTTCATTTTCAAACACACATACATACAGCAACACGTACACTCAGACACACACGCACACCCACCCATATATCTATATATATATATATATATATATATATATATATATATATATATATATATATATATATATATAATAATGGACAGTCTACTAGTTCGTCGACATTTGCTGGCTTGAGCATTTAATCCTCAAATTTAGGTAAACAAAATGAAAAACAAACTGATATTTTTAAACAAATAGTGTACTATTATGCTGAACGGGCCGAGAAGCGATAATGTTATTTTGTTTTAAGAAACTGTGCTGGATTTTACAAAACGAGTGGAATATTTTTAACAGTTTCCGGTTCCGGACTATTTCACAGAGTTTAAAACTCATTCCGAAATCAAAGTCATGATACTTGGTGGACAGTAGAGGATGGAATATAACCCCTGCTAAAAAGGGCAAACAAACAAGGTAGTCGTAGCACAAGTGGTTCCGAAATCTGGTGAATAATCACAATTGTAGTCACGGTGCCTGTCAGTAGAATCTGTGAAGACATAGTCGCTTATGCACACTAATAACCAACATAGTTCAGTCTAATCAATGTAAATTCCCTCATCTTTTTGAGCCGAGAGCCTTCAGGGCGTGGCCGATTATGGCACTCCTCTATCCTATGTAACTCTCGAGCAATATCCATTGCATTACTACACTCCCAGTCCCTCTTCCACCATCAATGAACACAATCTCGTTACGCATGTTACTTGCTGCTTCCCTCTGCTTTTGTTGCTTTCATCATACCCTGTGAGTGTCAAATTCAACAAACCCTCTTTTCTCATCATGCGTTCCAGAATTTACAACTGTCCTTTGCTTATTCTACCTACATGTATCGTAAAAAAAACTAAAAAAAAAACTCCTCGTTTACCACATATTCTGTTCATAGTAATTTCAGCATTTATCTGTAGAAAAAAAAACATTTCTGTTGCATCAAGTCTCTTATTCATATGTGGAGAAATTATCCAACATTCACAGTTCTATAGAAGGATTGATTTATATCGTCGTTTAATACAGTTTTCTTTAATTTTTTTTATTTTTTTTACTACAGTAACGTGAAATTTTAAATATTAAAAGGACACAATAGTTTGGTTTACTAGTTCCATAGCTAATAGAAGAGATCTGAAGTGAGCTTGATCTTCACTGGGTGCCAAATACCTGTAATCTTGTACCATACTAAACTGAAATTTTCAAATATGATGGATATCTATAAATAGTTTACTTGTTTACTGTAAACAGCAAGCTCGACTCAAAAACTGATTAGTATTTTAGTGATTTTGATACTTACTAAGTATCTAATTATTCTGGCCTTATGCCAGACTATGCTAATATCAACAATTCCAATACACGTTAACAGTAAACCATTGGCACTTTCTCAATATTGTCTGTTTCTATCTTTGCAATCTATTTTTTTCTTTCAGCATTATTCTGTGTTTCATTAAATTTTCCTGTTTCTTAGTACTTTGTTTAGCTTTTAGAAAACATCTTCCACTATTTAATGGCACGATAACTGATGTAGTTAGAAGTTGCTCTGAGTGGGTAACTACAACCGTGTCATCTGCTAAAGGAAACTTAGTTCAACAAGCTCTACCGTAATTTTAGTGTGGGCCTTGAGTCTCTTCAAATTGAACAGATGTTTTTTTAGGACGTCTACGCTTGTAAACTGCGCTATCCATTTTCCTTGAAGCCTAATTCAAATGTTGAAAATACAGAAAACGGTTTGGAATCCAAAACAAAATTACGGAACTTCTCTCTCTTTCTCATTTGAAGAAAACTGGAGAAGCAGACCTGAACAGAAGAGACAATGTCGAAAAGTAGTTCTCCATCTAGATCCGTGGTTTTCAAACCTTTTTTTTTCATTTTTTTTTTGGAATGAAAATTTGCTCTCGCCTCACCAAATTTCATGAGATAAAAAGGACATTTAAAAATAAAAAACTAAAAAACAGAGAGCGCATTAAAGGGAGATAACCGCAGATTCGAAGTCAGAGCATTATCATTGATTAGTCTCTCCTCAAATTTGAAGAGCCTAGTTACTAATTTCTTATTACTTGATATAATGAAAAAATATCACAATGACAAAATCGATAAATAATTATTTATAACTATTTATACGGGCATTAATGCATGCAATTATATGGAATCCATAATAATATTTTAAATTTTGAAATCATATTTATTTTTAGCATATGAATTTTTTAGAACTGTTTCTGAATCTTTGATTGTCTTTCAATCATTGCGGCTCACCTGCTATCCTCTTCCGCAACACCTGCACCTTTTGTGAACCACTGCAAATACATCTGTAGCCCTTGAGAAAACTGCTGTATCTCACGTATCAGTTTTGTCAGCTATAAAAGTGGTGTACAATAGAATTTCTTCTAAAAACTTCGATAAGTTAACGTGGACATGATGAGTTAACGTTGCATCTGTATCATTCAAAAGAAGTCATTTGCAAGCTATGCTTTACAAGTATTCGTGTATAGTATGTAAATTCGACTGTTTTAGTGCTGCTATTTCCAAAACGAAAACATTCTATCAAGATTCCGTGCTTGCAAAGGAATGAGATATTCCATTTGATTGGTAACGTCTTTTATTTTTTACAATTTCTGATTCTCACTTCAACTACAAATTGTTTTATATTCTTTTTTTTTATGTGTAGTGACCCTTCAGGATATGGGGAATCATGATTGTCCAAAACCTTCTATTCATTATATCCCTACGCAACGTTTGTCATTTTGTCAAACCTCTCACCGGATATTCGGTCATCTATTCATCCATTCAGGTAGATGGCCCGTTGCCTTTCTTTCTTTCTTTTTTTGTGCTTCCTGTGGGTGTCAAATTCTCCAAGCCCTCCTTCCTCATTATGTGTCCAAGAAATTTCATCATTTTTTTACTTTTTGTTTCGATTTTTCTTAAGACTTTTTCGTTGCTTACTCTGCACATCAATCGTATTCTCAGTATCCTTCTGTAGAACCACATTTCTGGTTCCTCCAGCTTTTTTCTTTATCTGTAAGGAGATTTTGTAGCATTCACTGGCATAGAAGAGGACTAATATTACATAGCAGTGCATTATTCTTTTCTTTGTTTCTAATTGAATTTTCCTCTTTCTTAATACTTTGCTTAGCTTTTGGAACACTCTTCTGTGCTTTTCCAAATGCGAAATTCAGTGTCGCATTTTCCATATATAATTTTATATCTCCTCTACAGATTACTTGCGTAATTAGGATCTTGATTTTAAAGATAGAAGAATACTTAGTGTCCGTATTAAAAATTAAGTAACCAATGTCCTAATAAAACTAGCTTCCATTCAGTGATTGTATTCAACGAGCCAAGTTTCATTTTTTACTCCAAGGGTGAAACAGAAACTTATAACAGCGAAATGACGTGAATGCGAATACATATAGACCGCCTCTTTTGAGCTTTGAATATTTAAAAATAAATATAGATGAAGAGAAAACAGACACACAGCATACGCGCGCGCGCACACACACACACACACACACAGAGAGAGACACACACACATACATATACAGGGTGTCCATAAAGTTCGTGTGCACTTTAAAAAATTTATAACTTTATTTGTATTGGCGATAGAAATATTCTGTAAAAAATGTTATAAAGTTTAATGTGCCTAGTTTTAAGTATATCTAAAATAACTAATGTGATTTCAGGCATTACTGTAAATCAGTTGACAAATGTTTTCCGTGAACTGCAAAATCGTATTACCCTTTGTATTGCTAATGATGGAGGACATCTGTGGAAACTTAAATAAAATCTCAATAAAATCTTAAAATATATAGATTTACTTCTTTCTAATTTTTTTTTACAAATTATTTCTATCGCAAATAGAAATAAAGTTATAATTTTTTAAAGTGCACACGAACTTTATGGACACCCTGTAGAGAGGCACACAAATAGTAAGAATAAACCAAAAGCTTAAAATGAGTTAAAAGCTAAAAATATAAAATAAACTGAAGTTTCTAAGTGATCTCCTTGTTTAAGCTGGCGAATGCTGCCTTAATCCTTGTCTTCTGTTCCAAACACCATAATGTTGAATACATATGTCATCCAATCCTCTGCACTGTCCTCAGATTGGCGCCCAAACACCCTGAAATGTTCGTATTGGAAATTTCGGCGCGAATACCTATGCGCATGTGCGAAATTAAAAATATAAAATGGCGGGCGACACTTCACCCATCGCAATGCTCATATATATATATATATATATGGCCCAAAATTTACTTTACTGTAGACATTAAAATGAAAGATTAAACATATCTTGTCAGGTAAATTTAAATACTTACATAAGTATTTAAATAAAGTATTGCGCTCTCTCTCTCTCTCTCTCTCTCTCTCTCTCTCTCTCTCTATATATATATATATATATATATATATATATATTTCTAAAGAATTAATTACATTTTATTAATTCATTAACTCAAACGTTATTATAGTGTACATTTATGCGTTGTCTATTTCAAATAAGAAGTGTCCACTATAATATTATTTGAAATATATAATTATATATATATATATATATAGAGAGAGAGAGTGAGAGAGACAGAGAGACAGAGAGAGAAACAGAGACATAGATAGATAGATAGATAGATAGATAGATAGATAGATAGATAGATAGATAGATAGATACCCAGAAAGAGACAGACAGACAGAGGTCCAGAAAGAGACAGACAGACAAACAGACAGACAGAGACAGAGACAAATATAGACAGAGATAGAGAGACAGAATATGCGAAGAATGAATCATAAGTATACTAATTTTTAAACATAGATGTGTTAACGCTTACGAAGACAAGGCTTTCTCTTCCTCTTCCTCTCTTGTCGAACTCTCTGCCTCCGGGGGAAGAGGATCCAGACGTGGTTATGCCCAAGGGCAGAGTCTCGTTTGAGGAGGCAGATAAACCAGACCCCGTGCAATTTTTACCCGAGACTATGGGCTCGGAACGCCCCACATTAAAAACTGGTCTTGTGGGGAGTTTGCGAAACAGAGAGGTGTTAATTTAATTTTGGGTTTAATACTCGTATTCTAAATTATAAAAGGGAATGTTCTGATCCTAATCAATTATATTCAAAGGGTTATATTAATCACCTCGTCTATAAATAAATGTGTATGTAAAGTGTGTGTATCTGTGTGTTTGAGCGCCCATGCCCGCCTTAAACTTCCCGAGACATTGTTTTCGGACAGCCAATATATCGCAGAGAACTATAGTGAGTCCCTCTACTAAATCTATTTCCATGCCCCGTTGGTTGTTCGAATATATGAATACAACAAGACTGACGTCATTTGAGAAAAAAAAGAGAAAAGAAAAAATCTACTGCATGTATGAAACAGACATCGGGAAATATGGCCGTATCGCCGCATTTGAAAAATCGATCTCATCATATTCGTTCTTCAAGCAATAACAGTCGCCATACATTGCAAAAAGTGGGACATTCTCTCTCCACTGTTTCAGTGTCGCTGTTCACAGTTTTTTTTTCCTACCACGTATTTCTGCGTCTGTACACTCCGCTTATTGTAAATATTGTTGAATGTTTGTTTGAAAGTTAGTCTCGATGGGATTCGAAAGTGATCTTGCAAGGTTTATTTCAGAAATGCCAAGCCGTTTCTCGTCTTTTCGTTTCAACATTGACGACATGTCGCTTTATTCTCAACTTCTGAAACGCATCTGACTCCAAACGAAATAGGCATGTTATGAGATATAGGTAACCAGGTCAGGATTTCGAAATGTTAAGACAGCATTTTATACTGATAAACAGAGACACAGGAAAGCAAATAAAACAGAAACTCAGACACACGCCTTGCAAGAGCATTGTCAAAGATAGGCGTTCAGACTGTTGGGTCCTAATAATAATAATAATAATAATATATATATATATATATATATATATATATATATATATAGATAGATAGATAGATAGATAGATAGATAGATAGAGAGAGAGAGAGAGAGAGAGAGAGAGAAGGTGAGATTACCATGGATAAATTGTCGTCAAAATGACGCAAAAAATTAAAATAATACTGACGTCTCATTTTAACAAATATATTTACAAAAGTTACAATATCTTGAAATACTAAAGAGTAAATTTATTCAATAAAATCGCCATTGACTTCAACCACGGTTTCCAGACGACTTCGGAATCTCCTGCAACTTTTCTAGACAGTCTCCTTATGTAAGTTGGCGAATGCTGCCATAATCTTTGCCTTCAGTTCAGCTTTGGTGTTACTAGGAGTTTTGTTGTCTCTTGCTCAACTGCACCCCACACATAATAATCAAGGGGGTTGCAGTTTAGGGAGTTAGATGGCCAAATTTAAGGGGTGATGTGGTCGCAGAAATTGTCTGAGAGACATGACTGGATTCTTCTGCATGTGTGGCATGGTACAGAGGCTTTTTGCTAGACATTGGTTCTACCAACAGTCAACCTCTTGACCTTACTATTCTGTGTGGTCGACAAAAGCAAAAATAAAAAACCTACATGCACGAAATTAAAAATGGCGGCGATTTACCCTTCGCACCCTATATATATATATATACATATATATATATATATATATATATATATATATATATATATATATATATATATATATATATATATATGTGTGTGTGTGTGTGTGTGGTTAGTAAACTTTTCTTTTATACATATTTCATTAAATATGACAGACAATGAATTTCTTGTAAGTGCTTTTATTTAATTTTTTCTTGCCTCCTTACGAGTTTATTTTTTAATGACTGAATGTGTTCAAGAATTGTCTATAGTCTTGGTTTCTCGATGTGCGTTCACATGCTCGCCTGCGCTCACCATATATTAATATTATTGCTATAAACGTTATTTTCAGTGAGTATTCGTGTTTAGTTACTATCATTTTTATTTTTATTTTTTAAAACTGTGAAGTTAATTATAACTGACCAAGATTGAGAGATCCTATTAAAAAATAGTACCTGCCCCTAATCTCAACTGGTTGTTATTAATTTCGCTATTTAAAAAGAAACAAAAACCAGGGCTAGCAATTCAATCACGTGTATCCACTAAAAATAACGTTTATAGTCATGAGAAATAATGCCCGGTTTTAAAAAATCCATTAAAATTTCCTGATGTTTAACATTCGGTTATGAAAATGAAGCTAATTGATAATGATCAGTTGAAATCCCAACAAGAGATATACATACGTTACATATGTAATTTGAAACTATCTCAATGAAGACGGTCTCCAGTAGCCAAACAGGTAGCATCGCGTTTCAGTTACAAAAGCGACAGAAAAAGCATTACAGGTTCGATTCCTACTGAGACGCGTAATATTTTTCTTTTTAAGGCATCGGCAAACTATAACTGTTGTCATTAAACTAAAGGTTTAAAAAAAAGTATCAGTGATAACAACTCAAACTAATACGCCCATTAAAAATAACCTTTATAGGAAATAATATCAAATAAAATCAATTATATATATATATATATATATATATATATATATAAGTCAGCACTTAGAGGCGACAGTCTGTTTCATGCTAGATGCAACCGTCAGAACTGACGATTGCATCTAGCATGAAACAGCCTGTCGCCTCAAAGTGTTGACTTCAATGTTTACTTTTATATTTACACACGCTCTATCTCTGATATTGAGCAATTATCCCATAAATATAGCACACCTTAAAAGTATATTTCTTCATATATATATATATGTGTGTGTGTGTGTGTGTGTGTGTGTGTGTGTGTGTGTGTGTGTGTGTTGTGTGTGTGTGTGTGTGTGTGTGTACTGGGTTGGAAAAAAAACCTCGGATAGCACAACTTGTAATTCTATCAAAACAAATTGGTACCTGAAGAAAAAACTGGAAAAAAAAAGAAAGAACTAGAAACATTCGAACAGGGCCAAACAAATCATCCAGTGCCTTAAGTTTTTAGTCCAAAGAAAAAACTCAAGCTGAAACGTAGAGTGCTCAATCTGCTAAGTAGAGCTGGAATAAATAAAATCTTAAAGAGCCAGGAACGACCTACCTAGGTTTCACCTAAACGGATATTCAGGGTAAGCTTGCTAAAGAAGAAATGACACGAAACAATTTTCATTGATAAAAACCACTAAAAACTAATTAGCATAAAACCACGTGACGGAAGAAGATAGTTAAAAAAAAAAAAAAAACCCCCCAGGTCATCTATTCTAATAAACAGGATTTCTTATGCCTACACCTATTTAAAATCTCAGATCTTTGATTTAATAAATCCTTAGGTTCATTGAAGGTGGCTATTTCTAATTTTTCCTCCATACATAATAAGAAATACTTGTGCCCTGCTTTGTAATTATGGTATTTCATCACTTCTCCAGCGAGGAACAGGGCTTAGTTGCCAGGGCCTTATTTGAGACGTATACCATGAGAGTATTTTGTAAGCAGTGGCAGTTTGGTTTACACTACCACCCTTGGTGATGGCAAATCTTTCTATCTATCTATCTATTTATCCATCTACCTCAGTTTGTTCAAATCTATCTAGCAAACTAGCTATCTCGATTAATTCATATCTATCACAGTCTCTTCATAACTATCTGTCTATCTATCTCGGTCTGTTCAGATCTATCTATCTATCTATCTATCTATCAATCGTTCTGTATATATATACATATATATATATATATATATATATATATATAAGATTTATACTTTTCCCAAGAAAATGAGTTCAACTGGAATTCGAACTTGGCTCTAACCATTTCCTCACTCCGAGCCGTTATCCATTACACCATTACACCACCGCACCTCCTTTTCGGATATGCTTGTACTATTTACCTATTACTGATTTATTTTTTTAATTATTTCAATTGTTCCATCGGTCAGTAGAGACTTAAAGGCAAATGGAAACACAGCGAGAAATAACTAAGTAGATTTAAATAAAGTAAAGACGAGATAACACGAGATAACAGAACGAGAACAATTTAACAATGTAAATTAAACAAAGAGTTTAATTCGAAATTCGCTGAAGGTTACATGGGTCGACAAAAACTTGAAGAAAGCCGGAAAGAACAGTGATAAAAGTAAATATGAGGTCAGTAGTGCGACGTAAATAATTATTTAGTAAGGTCAATATATACCCCCTTTTTCTTATATTACTTAAATCTGTTTTCCTTTCTTTTGTTCCCTCCCTCAACTTTGTATTTCGTTTCAGTATTCTTTTTTTCTTTCTTTCTTTCTTTCTTTCTTTCTTTCTTTCTTTCTTTCTTTCTTTTTTTTTTCTTTCTTTCTTTCTTTCTTTTTTCTTTCTTTCTTTCTTTTTTTTTTTTCTTTCATTCTTTTTTCTTTCTTTCGAACCGAACACCATAATAAACTTGTGTTATTTATCGACCTTAATAACTAACAACAGGAATAGACAGCTGATAAATGTCATGTTGTTTTTTTTAAGTAATCAGTAGCAAAAAATAAATAAATAGATATCACTCTTCGCCTTGAATAAAAAAAGAAACCTAAGGCAGTTCAAGAAATATCATTACGACTTTCTTGACTCTTGATTACTTAGTTGGCTTCATATGCTGAATGAATTTTAAAAATACATTTTCGAATAATAAATACAGTTTTTCAATAACTAATTTCGCGTATAAAGGCCTGGATAAGTAATGAGCAACGGGTTGGAGACGATCTTACTTATTCAAGCTAAAATGTAGGCGCTTTGGCCGAAATCATTCATTTTATTTACACAGTTTTAATCAATACGATACAAGGCCTCCTCCATATTATTACTTGTATGCAGAAATTCCCAGTACCCCTT